GCAAGTGTCACACCGAGTGTGAACGCGATCGCGCCATCAGTGCCCCCGGTTGGAGCAGCCTGTACTGCTCCGCCACCTGACAAACAGGGCCAGCAGAGTCCCTTGTCTGCCGGACCCCGGGCCACTGAAAGCGCAGTTAGGCCAGAAACCACTGCAAATGTGCCTGCTGGGCAGGCACCATCTGCCACCCTGCAGGAAGTGATGGATACAAGTCCCACTCCTTCGGCCCCTCAGGCGCCGAAAGATAAGCACAACTCTTTGGAACGCGTCAAGAAAGAAAAGCCCCGAATTACAGGGCTCCCAAGAGGCCCTGTAATCTAAGGCAACACTTTTGTACACACAGCACCACACAACAATAAAATGACACAAATACTACAGTGGAACGTCAGTGGACTGCTGAGAAACCTCGACGATATCCAAGAACTTCTACAGAAACATACACCAAAAGTGCTGTGTGTGTAAGAAACACACTTAAATTTCAAGCACACAAACTTCCTACGCAGTTACACTATTTTTCAAAAGGATCAGGATGATGCTGTCGCATCATCGCACTATCTGGCAGTGTTGCCATCATAGTTGATCAAGGAACAGCTTGTGCACATTTGCCGCTTCAAACACCCCTTGAGGCGGTGGCCGTCCGGGCTGTCCTCTTCAACAAACTGGTCACAATTTGCTTCATTTACATACTTCCGCATCCTCAACTCAATAAACAGGAATTCAGGCATTAATGGATCAACTTCCAGAACCCCATGTTGCCCTCGCGGACTTTGATTCGCATAATAGCCTCTGGGGCGACTCTCGCTGCAATGCGCGAGGTCGCCTGATTGAACAGTTCATTTTTTATTCCGGCGCCTGCCTCCTGAATCGCCAAAAGCCAACATATTACAATATTGTTAACAACACCTACTCGTCAATAGACTTCATCATAACATCTCCATCACTCCTACCTTTATTTAAATGGGAAGTCATCAATAATTGATACGGTAGTGACCATTTTTCTATAGTTCTCAGCACATCAATATCAAATGCATGTCCTCCACAGGTTCCCAAATGGCTCACCGATAAAGCCGGTTGGGAAAAGTTTAAGAAAATTACTCTCATAACTTGGACTGACATGGGGGTGTTAAGCATAAAAGCTGCTGTGAGCTATTTGACAGCTTTTTTGATTGATGCTGCAACAAATTTATACCACAAACATGTGGGCCGTCAGGCAAACGACGAGTCTCAAGGTGGAATAATGAGTGCCGTAATGCGCGCAAAAAACAAAATAAGGCATGGAAGTTGCTTAGAGATTCACCGACGTTGGAGAATCTCTTAAACTTTAAGAACACCAAGTCGCAAGGCAGGAGAATGCCCCAACAGGGGAGAAGGGAAAGTTGGCACAAATTTTTATCGGGAATTAATTCATACACAGATGAGGCGAGAGTATGGAATATTGTTGGTAAGGTGGTAGGACGACAAGCACACTCACTTCCCCTAGTGAACACACAAGGGGAGAGTTTGGAAGACCAGGCGAACACTGTCGGGGCGCATTTTGAACAGGTCTCCAGCTCATCCCATTACAATACAGCGTTCCAACGATACAAAGCAAGAATAGAAAACAGAAAATAGAATGCAAGTCCACAAACAATGAGGCATACAATGAACCTTTTATCTTAGCTGAGCTACAAGCATCGTTAAACTGCTGTAACAGAACCGCCCCAGGCTCTGACCGTATATTATATGAAATGCTCAAACGTCTGCCTCCTGAAACCAAAAAAGCTCTCCTTTCTTTGTATAATGCCATTTGGTTTTTCGGTGAGAATATTTGTACGCGAATATTTGCACAAGAAATGGGAGTACCACAAGGACCTGTATTGAGTTGCACACTTTTCATAGTCGAAATGAACTCCTTACGCTTGTCTCTCCCATGCAATATTCTTTACTGCACATATGTCTTTGATGTTCAGGTTGTTTTCAAATCGTGCAACCTTTCAATGTGCGAACGTCAGTTTCAGCTAGGTTTGAACAAGGTTTCTCAATGGGAAGATGAGAACGGCTTTAAACTCAATGCGCAAAAGAGCACATGCGTTTTGTTCTGCCGAAGGAGGGATCACCATCCCGACCGCAACATTAACCTGCATGGTCAACGTCTGTCTATGAAGACCAAGCATAAGTTTCTGGGCCTAATATTAGACACAAAACTAACCTTCATCCTACGCATCAAGCATTTAAAAGGCAGGTGCTTAAAAACCATGAATATTTTGAAAGTGTTGTCAAGCACTACGTGGAACAGTGACAGGAAATGTCTGAAGAATATATATAAAAGCCTCGTACGCACCCGCCTAGATTACGGTGCCATAGTCTATCAGTCTGCGACACCATCTGCCTTAAAGATTCTCAACCCTGTCCACCATCTAGGCATTCGCCTCTCTATGGGTGCTTTTTGAACTAGCCCCGTAGAGAGTCTATACGTAGAAGTAAATGAATGGTCGGTCCATCTGCAGAGATGTTACATGTCTTTCACATACTATCTCAAGGTTAACACAGACGAGGAACATTCAACTCACTCCACAATTAATGACCTGTCGAATTCTACCTTGTTCAATAACCTTTCTACGCTGAGACAGCCCTGCTCACTCTGTGTCAGGAGGCTTGCTGAGGAAACAGCTGTGCCACTTGGAAAACACCGTTTGATGGCTCCAGCAGTATATCTGCCACCGTGAAAATGGCAAGTTATAGACTGTGATCTATCTTTCGTGGAAGTCACTAAACACGCGCGTACTGCACATGTCCGCACGCACTTCCTAGAACTCCAGCACAAGTACGCTTGCCCAGAATTTTTCACATATGCTTCAAAATCTCACGCTGATGTGTCCTATGCAGCTGTTGGCCCATCCTTTTCCAACTACGGTATTCTACACTCCGAAACAAGCATCTTCACTACAGAGACTCGTGCGGTGTCTGTGGCCGTCAAGCATATTAAAGAACTACAACTACAACACGTGGTAATATACACAGATTCGCTGAGCGTAGTAACGGCTTTGAAAACTCTGTGAAAACATAAAAATCCTGTTCTTGTGTCACTGTACTCTCTGTTATGCAAGATCTATGCTCTCAAATGACATGTTGTAGTGTGCTGGGTGCCAGGGCACCACGAGATCGCTGGAAAGGTGTTGGTGGATCAGCTTGCCGCATCTGCTCAAGACAACGCTGCCGCCAATACATCTGTAGCTGTCCCTGCACTTGATCTGAAACCTTCCCTATGATGGAAGCTCAGGGCGTGCTGGCAGCACCTATGGGATTGGCAAACAGAAAACAAACTACATGTTATCAAACCGAGAATCGGAAATTGGCCAACAGTATCCAGATCACACTACACACAAGTTACATTTACAAGACCACAGATAGGACACACACACTCGACATTCATACCTTTTGTGTGGTGGCAATGCACTATTGTGTGAGAGATGTGGAGAACCGCTCACGGTTCTTCACATTCTTATCGAGTGCAGTGATTTAGATGCTCTCAGAAAAAAGCACTTTTTATTGCCATACCGACAACAGATACCTTTGCACCCATCAATGTTCATCGGTAGAGAACCCCTTTTTACACATAAATTATTGCTGGCATTTTTAACAGACATATGTATTTTTAACGTATATCGAGGCGCTTCGTAGCACGACCTCTGAAGAAAGGTCGCTGCCGCGGTGGCTACTTCTCCATCACTGTCTGACTATCACCTTTAGCCATTCACTCTCACTGCACATATTTCACGTCAATGTCATGGTTTTAATGCTTCCATATTTTTACCCGCGTCAGCGCGAAGAAGTTCAAGGCCCCTTTACAGACACCTATCATAATGATTGTTCGCATCACTTGTCCTTTTACCTGGCGCTCTTTGGCCATCAAATGGCCCTTGCACCATAAAACACCACCAATCATCAAACTTGCGCTTCGCTGCCATGATGACGCCGAGTCCTACACACGTGAGCACACAAGCACAAATGAAGCGCATTGATCGCCTTGGCAGCTTCGGCCACAGTTGATGACATGATCTGGTATGGATATGTGTCGACTGTGGCTCTGGCTTGGCAAAGCGGGACAGCGCCGCGTCGCAAGGCAACCAGCCGCATCGTCATCACCACCTATCAATGGCACTCTCCTATAACTTTGTTTACAGGCGGTGCAATGATCGCACATTTTCGGTGAAACAAAGCGTTGTCAACGTATGAAAAGTTGCACAGTTGACGATGCGGTGACTTAATCATCGAACAAATTTTCAAGCCAAGCGCATCTGAGCGAAAGTTTCATGGAAGCGAACACAAGCCCGAAAAATGTTTTGTTGTAGCAAGAACTATGATGCATTGACTTTATTACAAGGTGATGGGGAATGAGAAATACTTTGATGAAGCGGAACTTTCATTGAAGTGGCATTCGTCTTAGCGGGGTTCCACTGTATAACCTTATCACCACGCACCAACTCGCCCTATCTGCAGTACTTGTCGAGGGTGCGATTTCTGGCCACGCATTTTGACAAGAGTTGAGTGCCATGTGTCGTCACAATTAATACGAATCCACCCGTGCCTCAATATCGTAATGTGTTTTTTTCACATGAAACCCGAAGAAGGGATGGCCCTCTACCACTGACATTCAGCGCATACCCTGTGTGTCTGCTTTCCCTTCGTTCATGCTGCCCACATTCAAAGCCAGATGCTCATAACGTGGAGGGTGTGTGTAGTGAAACTAAGGCAGTTTGAGCCGCTGTGATGGCACTAGGCCATTTCTCCAGCATGTTGTGCCTTCCAGATTGTAGAGCTAAGTCACCATCACTTTGAAGGGTCCACCTCCTTGGGTGAACATATCATCTAGATAAATTAATCATCAAAATCCTCCCCACAATATGCTCGCTGCATCATCCATTCAATTGTTCTGCGCATTTCTTGATCTCCTAATTTATTGTGACGTTGCACAGTGCAACGTGCTGTGGTACGTTTATTCTTCTTAATTCCTTGTGCAGTTCTCACTTTCCTTGCAGGATGGTGGCCAGCAGCCATGAGGAGGCGGTCGACAAAGAGAAGCGGCTGCACGTGCTGTGCCCCGATCTGGAGCCTGAGCCGCTGCTGCCTCGACCTGTGCTCGAAGACCTGTAAGTTTCGAGAGAGTAGTACTCTTCCAGTTCAATATTCTGGGAGCTGCGCAAGTGCTTTGTTGGGAGATACGGGTTATACTTGCCTATAATGAGCAACAAATTCCTCGATATTACAAATTTTTTGTATTTCTTGCAATTACTTTATAGAAGCACATTCATTTCGGACCTCTATGTAACAAAGTGGCAGCGGGAGGTACTCTTAATATACTCAAACCTCAACTTAACTAGTTGCATCTTACACGAAAATAAGTTCATTTTGTCTGGAAATTCACTATAAGGGCATATTTCTAACACTATATTTATTACAAGGCCGTTTTTCATTTACTTCATTATAATAATATTTTTTATATCAAAGTTTGAGTGTATAAGGAATTTTCACTGATGACAATCAAGGGATTTCATCCTGAAATTTGTCGTTTTTGCTCAACCATGCATCTTCGGTGGTTACTGACAGCATTGCACACAACACGTTTTAAAGGGACATTAAAGGCAAATAATTTATGTCAGAGTGAAAGCTCTATGTATGACAATGTATAAAACAGCAGTATAAGCAACATTAGTACCCTACTTATTAAGAAATTGAGCTAAATACTATATCACCCAACATCTGCCACAATTGGGACATTCTGGAAATGACTCCGATAACATGAGAGCATTCAACTACAATTAATCGCTAGTAATCAAACTAGCTGCAATAAAAAAAACAGCCTTTTGTGTGTCAAGAGACGTAATAAAGTGCTGTTTGGTTTTCTGTTTTGGTTTGTAGAAAAAAGCACCATGTTACTATAGGGGAATGATGCTAATGGTTCAAAAGTTTCGTTTTCGCTTGCTTAGGCTAGATAGGTAGTACCATCTAGCAGGGCACAGTTGAATCGAGCTAGCAGGAAATAGTTCAATAACCGTTGTTGCTGCTGCGGCTTCGCTCTGCTGTTTCTAGTGTCAGCGGCTGTGCAGTAAAGGCAGGTAAAGTTGGGCATGGCAACAGTTACGTCAGAAAGACCGCTTTCAGGCAGGTGCTCCCACTGGTAGGATGTGCTGAGCTATATTATCAATTTGGACTTTACACAGAGCATGACTTCAAAAACTCATCAGGAGTGTCCTTATAATTGCTGTCACAATAACTAGTTTTTTATTGCTAAATTAATATTATTCATGACCCCATTTGCTTAATTTGTTCAGTTCTTTTCCGAATTTTCACGGTGAAACTGCATATAATGAGGACCTGTCTATAACGAAATATTTCACCAATTTGTCAATTTTGTTAAGGTAGCACGCAACATTAAGCTCAGTGCAAAAATATTTTCTTTGCAATATCAATGCTTGTGAAGTTTCTTTTTCTATTTTCGTATCGCGTTCAATGGGGTATTGAACCTTTCACCGTTATGTAATTTTTAAGGATGTAATTATGTACTTGGTAGGTACTTTGACGAGTTTCTTTGACGAGGTAGTTGGCCCGAAGTGACCAGAAGTTTTTTTTCAGGAGAATGGCCTTCCACAAGAAAAACGACTCAACTCCTCATTTGAATGCTTTTGGAACAACGGCAGTTTAGCACTCGAGGTATTCTACAAGGCTCCTGTGTTCCAGGTCAGCTCGTTGTCGCTCGGCGAAGTCGTCGGCACTTATGGCTCCCAAGAAGCAGTCATTGTCTGCATCATCTTTCAGTGGTAGTTCAATGGGGGCTCGGGACAGGCAGTCGGCGTCATAGTGTTTTCTTCCATACTTGTAAACGACAGTGTCGAATTCCTGAAGTCTCCGGCTCCATCATGCGAGGCGACCTGAAGGGTCTTTCAAGTTAGCTAGCCAACACAAGGCGTGGCGGTCGCTCACAACTTTGAAGGGCCAGCCGTAAAGGTAGGGGGGAACTTCGATGTAGCCCAGATAATTGCAAGGCACTCCTTTTATGTTGTAGAATAGTTGGCCTCAGCCTTGGATAGCGACTGGCTAGCATAACTGATAACCTTTTCCATGCCGCCAATCTTTTGCACAAGGACGGCGCCGAGTCCTACGCTGCTTGCGTCGGTGTGTACTTCTGTTTCGATGTATTCGTCGAAATGCGCAAGTATCGGTGGTGTTTGGAGGCGTCATTTAAGTGCCTGAAATGCTTCCTTTTGTGCCGCTTCCCGCCTGAATTCGACATTGTTTTTCGTGAGGTTATTTAGCGGCTTGGCCATCTGTGAAAAACATTTGACGAAATGTCTGTAATAGGCGCACAATCCAAGGAATTGGCTACAGCCTTCTTGTCAGTGGCTGCGGGAAATCAGTGATGGCGGATGTTTTCCACGGGTCGAGACGGACTCCAGACTTGCTTATCACGTGTCCCAGAAACAACAGCTCCTCGTATGTAAAGCGGCACTTTTCCGGTTTCAGGGTGATTCCGGAGTTCTTGATTTCTTGCAGTACAGCTTCAAGGCGCCGGAGGTGTTCGTCAAAGTATGAGGAAAACACCATGGTGTCGTCCAGGTACACAAGGCAAGTCTGCCGCTTCAAGGCAGCCAGTACTGTATCCATAACGCATTGGAAAGTCGCAAGTGCCAAGCAAAGACGAAAGGGCATGACCTTGAACTCAAACAAGCTGTCCGGTATAATGAAGGCAGTTTTTTTTTGGCCTCTCTTGTCGACTTCAATCTGCCAATAGCCGGTCTAGAGGTCCATCGAAGAAAAGTACCTCGCGTTCTCATGTCGATCTAGGGTGTCGTCTATTTAAGGGAGAGGGTACACGTCCTTCTTCGTGATCTTGTTCAGGTGGCGATAGTCGATGAAGTGTAGGCTTCCGTCTTTCTTGACTAACACAACAGGTCATAACCATAAACTCTTTGAAGGCTGGATAATGTCGTCGCGTAGCATTTCGTGGACTTATTTCATTTCGTGGCGAATGGTCCACTGATGACGGAATAGTCGGCTCTGTTGTTGACGAGAGCTGTCTCATTGTGGCCGTCGATAAGAACGTCAAGGTCGCTGGTTTGTCGCCTTGTGTTGCAGTTGCATCGTGGCATCGGATACGGCTGCGACAGTTTGTACCGCTGTTTCGACGTTGTGTCATCAAGTCCTCTGGCCGTAAATTTTCGATGTCGGGACTATGTTGACGTTGCGGGGTGTTCGGGGGTTTGGTCTTCGGTACATGGATTGGGAAGCACCTCCACCAGATGTCACGGGGTCGTGACATCGACGAAGGGAGCAGACAGTAGCTTGAAAATTAAACTGTTTATTTGGTCGATCTTGTAGCCACATAAAAGGAAAGTGGGCAAGACACTGGCAATGATAGCGGCGAACTGAGCATCGGCCATCAATCAACTGACAAGTGGCAAAGCATGTCAGCATTCATACACTTGCCATCGAATATTCTAGCGTTATCGCTAGTGGCGACGTAGGTTCCAGAATAATCTGTAATGTTCATGTAGTGGGCGTAATCTTAACAAAATGATCTACTGCAGTTCTGAAGCTTCTCTTGAACAGTGTAGGCGTGGTTTGCGCTGAGAATAACTGACAGTGAAGCGGAGCGATAACAAAACCCGAGGAGGGAATGAGGTAATATATTGATGTATAAGTATATATATGTGTGTGCTTGTAAATATATATGCTCTGTTAATCTGTTTTGTACTCTGATATGGACCGACCACTAGCCAATGTAGGCTAACGGTCTAGCTAGTTTGTAATAATTGCTTATGTTTTCTCAATAAAATTGAGATTGATTGATTGATTTATTGATTGATTTAACTGCACCTTTCTCGAGCCTCTGTCCAAAGTTGATCTCTTCTGCTATCCTTCCTGTGTCACAGCCTGGCTCTAGATTTTTGCACTGTTTTCTCTAAAGGTTAAATGATCTTTACAGGGTGTGACCTCTGTAAGAGACATCATCACAGCAGAGGGAGTTTTGCATTGTGACATTTTGATCCCATCTCTGAAATGCTGGGGCAACTTTACACTTGAGAGTACATCATTTTCGCAGTTGCAGCTTACACGAAAATGTGTTCGTTTTACCCGAAAATTTGTTATAAAGGTATATTCTTAACACTATATGTATGTCATAAGACTGTTCTTTATTTACTTCGTTACAACCAATATTTTGTTATATCAAGGTTCGTTATATTGAAGTTTGAGTGTATTTGTCTTTGGCAAGTTTGAACAGTAAGGTTCCAGTGCAAATAGAATCAAATATCAAACATTATTAAAAAAATAGTTGAAGTTTAATTATTCATAAACTCCTAGTATTTACGTTCATTTATAAATTTCTTATATGCCTTGGTGAAATAACTACTGCTTATTTATTATAAGACTCAAACATTTGCAGAATGTCATAATTAAACAATTATTGTTCACTTTGCAAGACTTGTCTTCTTTTTCTATCCATTTCTTAAGGGGGACGTGGGTTCTAAAATTTTTTTTTTTCCTCAATCTTAACCAAACTTCACTACCTAAGCTAGTTTTTCATGCTGATTTCAAATCTCTAATTTGTTTCTTAATATTTCATGTGGTTTAGAAAATATGACGGTCTGAATCTTAATTATTTGCGTACTTCTTACGGGAATTCTTGGCAATTTATTCTTGCTAAATCAAAAAAGTGAATGCATAATCCCAATGCTGGAGACTTGCTTTAGGGGGTGATGCTATTTTTATCCATTTGAAGGCATTTTATAAGCAAGAAAACGGACGAACACTTATGGTCACTATATTACAATAAATTTCTCTCACTAAAATCTTCAATTGTAATTCTGAAATGATGCTAGAGAAATAGAAATAGCATCACCCCCTAGATCATGTCAAGACGAATAAAATGATACCAACTTTGTCGCATTCACTCAAGTTTAACATAGGAAAAACCCCCGTAAGGCCGAGTGCAATGTGCAAAAACATCGAACTGAGAAAAACGCGTTTGAAGTTTCTAGCAACTTTACCTTTGGTAAAGTGAAGCTACAGCGATAATAATGACATAATTCTGTAGCTCTATATTATAGGATAAATGGCCATGTTAAATTTTACTGTACCCACCCAGAATACTGCTCACAGTTTGTTCTAGAACTATAAAATAGTCGTTGACTCAGCATGAGAATTATCATTTTTTTACTTTGTGGTCGTTCCAGTGCCCTGCAAGTAAAAGGAACACAAAAAAATCATGTAATAATGTTGTCCTTGGATAGACAATAGATTTACACAATGTTTAGGTCTAAAACCAAGAATATTTATTTTTGCGAAAATTCTCACTATTTGCCATCATGACTGCTTACAGCAGACCAGGGCTGTAAGCAGAGTCCCCTGCTGGCTTGTGACGCTTTGTAAGTCTTTCCTTTATTGAACTGCTGTCGAGATGCTCTCTTCGCGATTTTTGCAGCCTGCCCTTGTCCTTCTCAAGGCTGCCACGCAACAAGTTATTGCCAGCGCTGTAGCCCAGCTTCTCGGCAATTTCCACGTTGCTCTTAGTTGTGCCTTGGTTGAAGCAGCTGATGGCTTCAGCAACTGCCCTTTCAATGCTCCGCAAGGATGCATGCTGAGTTTTGGGGGCCTGCTGCCAAATCATAGCGTGCAGGCTCTCACTTGGGTTCTGGGTGATCCCATCGCTGCACCTTTCCAAGAGGGCATTGTCGCTCAGCCGCCTAAACACAGGCTCCAATGCCTCAGTTACGAAATCAGGCAGGCTGTCTTTGTGTGGTAGCGGCTTCTCATTTTTCGCAAGAGCTCTCTGAAATTTGCACCAGGATTCAGGGCCTTCAGGGCAAAGATCATGCTTTGGTGCCTCGTCAGTTGAAGACATGTGGTTCAAAGTTGCTACAACAGCCTTCTGCATGCCTGGAACATCGTTCCTGTGGCTTCTCAATGCGTGGCCATAGTATGAGGTGATCTTCTTTATCTTTTGTTGTGTAAGTCTGCCCTTTCCACCAAGTGAGCCACCTTGAGCTTTTTTTTTTTCTCTACAAGGGTACGTAAGGCAGCTCCCATACGCTTGTGTACAGGATTTATGCAGTCCTTTTTGGCCACCTTTATGAAGCCGTACACCTCTTTTTCTGTGAGTGCATGGAATGTCCTGCTGTCGCCGTCCGACAGCATTGTCGTATAACGAAGCTTGTGCTTTTCAAGTGACCGCTCAAACAAGCATAGTGCTGAGTCCACTTCCATCTGGCCAGCATTACAATCAACATTCTTCTGGCACAAAGGGGCATGCTGAATGAGCCAGGCAGAATGTCCTGCTTCTCCTTCCTTGGGTCCTGTGGTGCAAGCCAGGCAAAAGTTCGATAGCACGATATGGTCTATCACGAGGCCACTATACATCTCAACAATGCAGCCAACACATATGCCAATCAGCGGCCCGGAAGGGGGCTCCGGAAAAGGGGCGAGGGCAGCCGTTCTGTTTAAGCGACGCCATTTTGAAGGGCGGCAAAATGCGCACAAAGGAATCAGCTTCAAAACAAGCCCAAGATGGCGGCGATCAGCCGACTGCCTCGCTGGCGGCACGGGCGGGAAGTTTGAACGAATTCGACCTGCCGTGGGTTGTTTTGCGGCTCCCGTGGCGACTTCATAATCAATTTTAATCCATTTAATGAGCGAATTCAGCGTTCACAATTTGAGGACACGTGCTTATAGGTCTAAAAATTTCAAATATCGCATTTTCTCAAAATCCACTATTTGGCCATTTTTCACCATATGCGTCCCCCCTTAAATAGCACCATCTTTTCTGAATGTCTTCTTTCAAACAAAAACATGGCATCCATGGAATGTATGAGTCAGCGTGCGGCAGCAAAGTTGCATTTCTGTTTTCTAAGAAAAATGCACTTGTGATACTACACTGAGAAATACGCTGACCATTCGAAATGTCTCTCCCCGGTTTGCACTGTTCATGTGTATGTTTTCGTAACGTGTTAACCGTGTGATCAAAAGAGAAATGAGCCACAAGCTACCACACTACTTGTATAACACGAGTGTGCGAGCCTTCATAGCCTTCGCTCCGCTGCCGTAGTGAGCTGTCAAGAGTGAGTGTACTTGTTCTGAATTCCTTCGACTTTGACCTTGTCAACTAGCTAGCATGAATGATCAGTTACACAAGGCTTTGTTCCTTGGTGCGCATATTCACAAGTAGTGATATCTTTTGTAGCCGCAAGCGAACATCCATGGCTGTGGTGTTATGGCAGCCCCCTCTGGTGCAGAAGCTCACCGACTCCACCCAGGAAGCCGAGCAGAGCAGCTCAGACACTGAAGTTGAAAAATCAAGGTGAGAGACACACCATCACTGGTGAATGTATACTTAAAAGTGTGCATGCCAAAAATTCTGAGTGAAGGCGAGGACAGAAACTTTTAGATTAATGCTGAAAATACTGCATCTGCAAGCAGGCTGAAAGTAGACTTATCTAAACACCTGCAGTTGGCTTACGTAAAACAGTTACTTGAAGTTTGTTTAAGACACATAGCACGAATAAAGCGGTGAAACGTATTGGAACCATGGAGGAGCCGGGGGTGTGAAGATTGTACACTCAAGTACTCTTTATCCCCTCCCCGCTTTACTGCTCCATACAGTGCATTGTAAGACATGGAATGCCTTCTCTGTTAATCATTTAGAGATAGGCTAGTTCACAATGTATTACCAGAAAATACAATATATAGAATTTGTTATTGAGGGAGTAAAGGATCCTTTCTTAGGAAGAAATCTTTGTCCCATGAAAAACAGTGAACCTTGAAAAGAATGAAAACACAACCAGCAAACATTACAGAACCAGTTACTGAATAGATCACAGTCACATGCCTACATAATGACGTTTAAATACACATTCATTTTAAAGCCCTTTAATATCTTTGTTGTTGACCATGTCTGCAGACGTTTCATTTGTTTTGTTGATGCTTTTTTCTCATTTCCTAGACGATTAACTCTTTGTTGAATTGTTGTGCTTTCTATGTGTGTATTTCTAAATAGGGTCACTTTTATATTACATGGCATTAATTTAGCTGCTACCTCATGGGTACCTGTGGCTGTCTATGTGGACAGGTCTTCGGCATTTGTACGTGTTTGATGAAACAAGGCTGATTATGATCATTACTTTGCAAAAGTTGAATGAGACGCCAAAGTAACCTCAAGTGCTCATCTGTCAGGCCAGGTTGTCCTTAATGGTTATGGACAAACGGACAGTGGTGATCCAACTGTGCTATTTTGCTACAATTCTCGGCACCTTGGTGCGCACATTCGAGTACAGCTTGGGCCAAAGTCCACTAGTCCGTCTTTTTACCCGGCATCGGACCGTTTATGGCCCAAAACTATTTTTGGTCGCAACAAACACAACTAGAGCTTTTCCATACAGTATAACCTCGTTACAACGGACTCGGGTACAACGGACATTCGGATACTACGTACCAATTCGCGGCGTTATGCTGATCTCCCTATCTTTTCCATTGATTGAGCTTCGTTTACAACGGACTCGGGTACAACGGACATTCGGATATAATTGACTAAATTGGGACGCCAGCAAGGTGGTCAGGCCTCCTTTACAGCAGACTTTTATATCACGGACATCCGAGATTCAATTGTTTCCGATTTAAGGCATCGCTAGGCATAGTTGCGGCACGGGAAAAGCATGCCGGCGGTGTCAACACAAGCGGCGGCCATTTCAGGGAGGCCGCGCTTGGCTTGGATTGATCTGGCTGCCGGGGCTGACTTCGACTTCTGTTACATTTAGCGAGCCATAATTTGCAATGATTGCAATGTTGTCAAAATAACATAAAGATAAAAGATTAAAAAATCTTGGTTAGACTCGTAACGGACAATAGTGACCACTTGCATAAAACTGTGGTCAAAGTGAAAAATAAATAGAAAGCATGCGCTTGGCAGCGGCCCCTCTCGGAATAAAAGGTTTAGTGGCGCTTATGCTCGGGCCGGCGCAGGCGCTGCTGGCGCCCTGGCGCCGTGTACTTCACTTTGTTCAGTTGGGGTAGTTGGGGCTGTTTGGCCTCATGGTTTGTCATTGTGTATCCTGTTGGCCTCTCTGCATTGCGGACGTGATCGTGGTGTGATGGCCTTTGGGAGCCAGCAGTCTTGGATTACGTCACTGCAGATGATGACCTGGTCAGCTCAGAGCAGCTGACAGATGAAGAGATTGTAGCCCAAATTCGCCAAGTGCCTAATGCTGAGCAAGAAGAAGAACAAAATGAAGAAGGCAACTCAGGGATTGTCACACAGGAGGTCACAACTTCTCCGGCGTTGGACTACATTCAAGGGCTCAAAAACTATTTTGAACAGCAGGCCACGACTTCAGATGTCATGATGGAGACACGTATAGTGTCTAAAGCTGTCCGCCACACAGTACAGGCAAAGCTGACTAGCTTCTTTCAAAACATTTAATAAATCCGTTATTTGACTATGTTTGTGACTTTCAATTCTCTCCTGTTATAACAGACTCATTACGTGTTTACGTAAATGTCTGTTGTAACAGTACATGGATTGTACAGACTCCTTTTACAACAGACCAAATCCTCTTCACTATGAAGGTCTGTTGTAACGAGGTTATACTGTAATGCCACCAATGCCGTCTGCTCGCTTCATTGAGCAATGCCCTTTTTGTTATATTCAGCCTATCTAAAGAATCTGTGCCACTGCGTGTGTCTCTGTTGAAAGTTTAGCACACACGATAGCCTCTTATTTGTTATGCAACTGGCCATAACGCGTAGAAAAATCACTTTTTTCTTTAACAAGTCGCTCCGGGGAGCGTTATGTAGTCACCGTGGCCAATAGGTTACAGGTATCGGCACTGCATGTTAGAAACTGCCTATTCACACAAACTAATATTCGGTCGTGAAACATTTTGTTTAATATTTCGCAAAAGAGAGATGCCTCTTAATCGCACTGCACAATGTTCTTCGGTATGCCTATCATAAAGTTAAGACTAAGTACCCACGTGGAGCGCGTTTACTGCTGCTCCTGCATGCCCAAGGGCTTGTCGCATGTCTATCGCGAAATTGGCGGATCACGGTGGCTAGCCACCAAAAGGTCAGCCACAATAAAAAACAAGTGCTCTCGCCTAAAACCATTCGAACAATCAGTGTGGTCATCAATTGACCAAAAAAAAATTCAGTTTTGCAGCAGTGGTGAAGCAATAAATGAGATAGTACCAAACTGCAATGTTAGACGAAGCGAGGCTGGCAGCTCATTCTTTAGGATCCGATCTATGAAATCTACAAAAATGCTGGTTTAAGAGAACACACTTCAGAAATACTCTTTGCACATTCTCTTCGTGCTGACAACTGCTGAAATAGCGAGATAACCGCACGCCTCAGCGACAACTGTTCTCGTAAAATCAAAGGTCGCATTTGCTCCTGGAGGAACTCCACCTCCTCATGTTTTTTTGAGACAGGCAGGCATTCCCTCTCTGTTGAGCATTTGACAGGAGGTCTAAAAGACCGGGGGGGATCTTATCTCATGCGCCTCAGAGTGAAGGAGATGGGGCGACATTATGGCGACGGCAGAAACCTCTTGAGGCTGTCCGTATAATCGCTATTGCAATAAAAGCTAAAATAAGTCTCCCCGGCTTGTAAATATTCCCGAGTGATTCTCTCACACAAGTTGAGAAAGTGCGGTTGCGAGCGGGCTCAGCGCAGGTGCCGTTTGTTCTGAAATCGCACATTGACTCCCTCTCTCCGCCAAATAAAAGAAAGAGGTCCACCTACCTAATCAGTCGTCTTGCGTGTTCGCAGTATGCCATAGTTATTCCCCAACCATGCTAGTAGCACGGGGCTCATACCCACCCATGGCACTTAAGCAGCACATTAAGCTCGCAACGAAACTAAAAATCATTCAAGAACTTGACCCCAATGACCTATCGAAGACAGAAATTGTGAAAAAGTTCAATATTCCCAATTCCACACTGTTGAGGATACTCAAGAACAATGGGAAGATTGAAGAAGCTGCTAAGCTTGTGAACTTCGCCACGGACAGAATGCGGATGAGAATGGCAGCGTACAAAGAAATCGAAGATGCTCTTTTTCTCTGATTCAAGCGTGCGCACAGTGCGAACTTCCCTATCAGTGGTTCCATTTTCGTTGAGAAAGCCAAAAATATTGCTACTCACATAGGGATCGAACACTTGTGGGTGAGCAATGGCTGTCTGAGCTGTTTTAAAAAGCAGCATGGTCTTGTCTTTAAGATAGTTTCTGGAGAAAGTGCGGCTGTAAACAAAGATATCTGTAAGCAATATTAGCAACATTTTTCTTTCTAATCAATGATATAAGTATTGTATATGTTAAAATGTTTTTGTTCAGTAAGCCACAGTTGGTACTTTTGAAATAAAGTCTTATTTCATTCATTTTGTGGGCTTTGCTTAAATGAAACTTCTCATAAACGGAACAAATTTTCTTGCCCCTTTAAGTTGCGTTTAAGAGGAGTTCACTGTATTAGTGAAAAACCTTGAACAAGTTTCACAGTGAAGAATAGTTTCCAAACTTAAATTCATTTATCCTTGGTCCCACGATCATTTCAAAATTCCCAAGTCACGTTATTTACGTCATCTTTTTCTGCACACATCGAGAACTAACCACAGTAAAACAATCAGACAACCTTCAAATCGCATTAACATTTACAAATGTTTACTCACCTCGGCAATTGCTCATTAGAATATGTTACCGGATAGTGTTGTGAATCGCACTACTGTGGAACCATTTGCTGTAGAGGTGCGGGCCATTCATTTCTGTTCAAGATTGTTACTTTCTTCTATGAATGGGGGACATGGGTCTTAGAAGGCCAAAGATCGCAAAAAAATCTACTTTTTGAAGCTGACATTTTCGAAATCTGCACCTATTTTTGCACTTATCTGAGAAGTTTCCAGCTTCTCGCGTCATTATTTCTGGTGCAAAATCAATTTGTAACATCCTTGTGAGACGAATGTGAGCGCAAATTGATGCTAAAATCGCGCTTTTTCCGCGCCAAACTGTTGCCGTTACACACGAGCTATCGTGTTCATCTTGGTCTCGTTTGGAAGGGTCGTTCTTCATCTTCGATTTCCCGCTACCGCTGGCTCACATTGCTCATTGGTTTTTTAGCAAAAACGCGTCATCGAGAAGCACTAGCGCCTGATTCAATTGGCTGCTTGGGGCACGTGACCAAATTTAGGCATTCGATTGGCCAAGGGGCGCTTTTGGCGTCTGCTTCACCATTGTGACGCACACGGACATGCGCCATTTTGTCATGGTGCTACTGTCTGCTTGCGGTAGTAAAGAAGTTCCGTGCTACACTAATTTGTGAAGCGAATGTGGCTGTGGCTCGTTCGCTGTGAAGATCCCTGCTATCGCTCAGGACAACGAGGATAACGAACTCGACGCGGTCTACGGCGGTCGCCAAGTCACTGGTGCAGGCCTAACTCACGTACGAGCCCGTTGATTGCCGACAACGTTGCTGAGAACGGCTGTGTTTTGCTGCCTCATCAGTTATAGGTCGGCAAGTAAAAAGCAGAAGTGAAGCTACCAGAGATATCAATTTTTGTAGTGACGGAACGGAAGTGCAGTCTTAACGCTAAACCCACCGATGTTGTGGTTCCCCCCGCCTGACGAAAGGACCTTGAACTGCGCGACGGGTCGTCAGAGGGGAGTACGCCCCGCGTCGACCAACAACAGAAAGTCAATCCGTTCGCAGTGAACATGCTCGCGGCCCTCGCAATGAAGGCTACTGGCAACAGGTAGACTGCTTTTAACAATGTGTTCGCAACGTTGTCACGATCTCCGCTCGTAAATGCGGCAGTCTTACGTGAAAAGGAAACATCTCTGCACTCGTGTAGCCTCGAAATTGATGAGCGAGGGAGCAACTTTGGTTCGCGACACTTACGGGTAACTTATTCTGGACAAGCCGGAAAACATCGCCGCGTTATTCGACGGATCGTGGATGACGCACGCACATTTGTCGCACATCGCCTGTCAGTACACTCACCGAACTGATAAGCGGCCTCGCAGCAGACGAACACACGGCGACAACTTGCTTCAGGACTAGAAGAAACGACACACTCGTACAAACAATCAGTCCTATTACATTCCCGGTGCATATTAACTGACTAAAAGTATGTGTGCCATGATATTTTTCCCTCGGAACGGCGAAATTAAGTTTTAACAACATTATTCTCGAAGCATAGATTTTGACCACTTTCTTAGTAGACCTAGGAGAGCTAGAGCTGTAATTGTTTTTGCACAATGTAGCTAAATGTGCACAAAAAACAATGCTGGGAGCCTATTTTTAATGGGCAGCTTCATTTTTTTTTTAATATAAAAATTTCTGTATTTGGTTACACTCAATGAACTTTACTGTGCTGTAATTTGAGAAGTACTCGTTCAATTTTCGATCAGCTTGCAGCATTGCACTCGTTAGGCTTTCTAGCATTCATTTATATGTCAATGGCTTTGTAATTATAAGTGCATACATTTTTACATTTGAAAATGTTAGAATTCTTTGTTTTCTTCATTTTCTCAAAATGACAATTTTGTACACCCTGGATGAAAATTACTGAAATATATCTTAAACTATTACAGATAGCAGAATATTTTATTTTGCAGCATGAAGCTATATGTTTGGAGCACACAACATAGGAAGCAGATTTTGATTTCTCTTGATGCAAGTTTTTCAAACTAGTCTTTTGTGTGACCACACAATGGCCACATTCAGGGCTGTAAAGTTTAGTGGACTGTAAAGTAAGAAATAATGACCCATTAAAAAAGTGCTTCTTATGTTGCATGTCTTATGCTTTCTACTGTCAATCCCTATGTTATTTAAAATTTTTGACAGGTGGTTATTTTTCTATTATGGTAAGAACAATGGAAATTATTATCTTGGTTATTTAATTAACTAATGAAGCTACCGAAAAAATAACTACATTTTTAGAATCCGGAGAACAAACTTAAGTGAGCATGCCAACTTTTGTCACACTTGGTTCAAAAATAAATGAGAGAGCCCTAAGAACCATGCTTTAAATGCTTTTTTCTTTTTTTTCCTCGGTAACCACTCCTGCAAGGGCAGTTTGAGCCTGCAGTATGTGCAAATAAAAAAATTGAAAGGAAAAATGTCACACCTCTGGCTGTTATTGTGTACAGTGGAGCGTCATGTACAGTGAGTGGTGGCACTCATTTAATGCGCTATCTAACATAACAATTTTCCGTTGATCGTTGCAAGTGAGTATGTTCTCACTTGCAACGATCAAGTTTTTATTTTTCATTTGTTAGACTGCTAATATCCTACTTAGGTCATAGGCTTGTGCGAATAGTGAATTTTAGGTTTGAAGCGAATACCATATTTACTCGCATAATCCTCGCACTTTTTTTGCCGGAAAACTGATGAAAAGGTGGGGGTGCGAGAATTGCGCAGGGAGAACTTTCCACGAAAACGTACAGGGTGAAAAAGAAAACGAAGTGGCCGCAAATTGGGATTCTCACACCAGCAACTTACAGCAAGCTTTAAGAAGTACTAATTAGAACTTACCTCAACAATAAAAGCAGAGGTTCAACACAAGGCAAGATTTATTGGGACACAAAAAGAACAAGCAAACGTCGAGAATTAGAATACCATACGCAAAGCTTGTGGGCGTTGTGGGCGTAGTGGTAGCGTTTGTCACTCAACAGGAGCCCTCAAAAGGTAAGTGTAGGACGTCGGTATTGGGCTGATGGCTATTTAACAGAATCGTCCGCAGTTTCCTTCTGAAAAAATAAAGTTTACCATCAATCCCAGTTTTAGACCCATGGCAGGCCCAACGTGTCTTGGTGGCTTTCAGCTGCCGTCACCAGTAGCGAACACAAAACTAGTAGACTCCGAAGGGCCTACCGGTGGCCCTGTTGCCGTCGTTTAGTGCATGATCTATCACTTGCAACTTGAAGCAGCCGTGTAGCTTCAGTATCGCCCCATAACGTGCGAAGATTCCCGACACAGCATACAAAACACGCCGCAACGCGCACTGGCCACTTCGGCTTGGCTTGGATTGGATTGAATTTGCGCGCAATAGTACGCTTGATGCTAAAGACATGGCGCCAGATGGCACGCGCTATCATCATCAGTGGCCGGAACAAGCAGACGACATTATTGCGGCAGTTTTCGGGGGTGGATAATTACTCGAGGAAGAAAAGAAATGGTATTTTTGTTGGGCGATGTGGGGAGTGCGAGAATTATGTGAGTGTGAGGATTACGCAAGTAAATACGGTAGTGATTTTGGTCAAATAATTTTGAATCGAACTTGAATCGTACACACATTGCCTATTATAAAGAGAGGGGCATATTTGTCATGACCAGACAAACCTGCACAATATTTTTTTTTTAATAGAGACAAGGCCTGTGCAAAGGCCATTTTTTTTTTTCATCAAAGGAAGTGGCAACAGCTTTGAATAGTAGCAGAATGTGACTTTCGGTACAGTCCTAGTGATAGCCAGTAAAATATGCTTCGTTTTAAAATTTGCTACACTTAGAGCATATGAGTCAGTGTAACAACCGTTTGAACTGAAAATAAAATAAACAAAAAAACAGGAACCTTGAAGTGGGGCTTCGCTGCCGTGTTGATTTTCCATGAAGACGTGTTTGGACTTCTTAGCACCTCTTCACTGCAGTGGAACCACATCTACATGCACTAACACATATGTAAGGTGCTTTCAGGGCTTAGCACACCTCTACTGTAGTGAAACCGCCTTTACATAGCGTTACATGCGGGTTAGTATGCACGTATTCGTTCGTTTCGAATAGTTCATAATGTTCAATAATTTAACTTAGATTCAAAGTGAATTTCAATACTGCATTATTTTTTGGAATATTCGTAGCATTCAAATACTCACACAAGACTATTAGGTCATTTTTTAGAATACTCTTTTACCAGAATATGACACTTCGGTACTAAGGTCCTGATTAATGGCTACTCTCTGGATGTCTCCTTGCTTACGTTGCAGCAGCATTATTAGTTTGCACACTAATAGGAATATTCACCAAAAGTTAAGACATGTTTTGCACCAAATGACCCTAAATTCTGTTTTGCCTACTCTAAATCTGCTCCGTAACTCAGTTCCTCCTGCTCCAAATAAGACTTTTTCGTTCTCGAAGAATTGCTCCAAATCGTAAACTGGCTCGATCATCTTTCATAATCTCATCACAACGATCTTTCTTGCAGTAAATCCGACAGACAAGAAGAGGAGACAAGCATGGATCTATGACTGCAGTGCCAGCTGTGAAAGCTTGTGACCCGCCTCAGTCACATCTTGGCAGTATATACCTGCCAAGTCACTGTATGTATGCAGGCACCCGTAATTATTTGCCCAAGTTGTTGGAGCTGTGACAAAGAATACTGCCATCCTTTTGGTGCAAGCGCACTCACGTTCACGTGTATCGACTAAATATTACGCATAATAAAGGCCAAACATTGAATAGCCACTGTAACAAGATTACTGTATTGCAAATCAGTTCTCTAACATTCATCAAGGCAGCAGGTTTCCCCGGATTGTGTTATGCATAATACAGTTGCATTTTTGAGACTTCTTAGCGTAACTAGCCCTCATGCGTGATAGGTGCACCTCATCCACAAGCGTTGGTGCAGGTTCCTGTGAATATAAATGGCACCTGCAGGAAACCCAGCCTATGCTTCCTAGTTGCCTACTAAACTCACACTGCCACCTCTGGTGCTCTTTCATGTGTTGCCCACCAATTGCACCCTGATAGCACGCTTGGTGCGCTTGCCCAGGAAATACACAGATTACGGTTACGATAGGGCCAAAGGCGAATTCAGAGCTCAGCTTCATGTTGAGGCTGTGTTTGCAGTTGAAGCTTTCTGCAAGGTATGCCATAAATCTTAAATTTTCTGCAGTAGGAAGGCACCCACTAAGTCGAACGCCACTTAAAACGAACTGCCACTTAAAAACGACTGACATCCGCTTGAGATTCCAGGTGGAAATAGACATTATTTCAATGGCACAGAGTTTCACTTGCAAGGAACATCTCTGAGTGCCACCTATTGGTTACAGCAAATAGAGTAAACCCTTCAGTGACTGTCCAGAACATCACTTTCGACCACCAGCCGTCGGTGAGGTGCCCATAGATTCCTATTGTTTGATGTCGATTCTGCCTCCACAGCTCTTTAGTTGTTGCTCTTCCCAACTGTTTTTTTTTTTTGTTATGCACCCCTCTTTCCTGTTCCTTCACTGCTCTGAGTACCCCTCATCGTCAGACGAGGCGCGTGTTTTCAAACTGCTTTCGAAGACCGGTCAGCTGACTAGTTCCCCTCAGCCTGGAGTGACCAGATGATCCCCAACATTGTCAGCTGCCGACAGTACTCAATCGTCTGCGTCTGGATTGGTTTCGTATCGTTCCAGTGCACGTGTTTAGGCTACCCCACCGACTTCGATAATTCACGATTCGTTTCATGTTTAGGTCCTTTTCTCGCTCAGCATGCCCTCTGCACATGTGCAGATGTACAAAAGCGGCTGTTGCACAGAGTGAAACGTGAATATACTCAAACCTCGATATACTGAACCTGGATATAATGAAATACAGGTTATGACAAAGTAAATGAAAGTTAGTCTTGCAATAGATATAGTGATAGCAATGAAGCTTTATAACGAATTTTTGGACATAAAGTATTTTTGTGTAAAATCTAGCTTTGTTACAACGAGGTCTGAGTTTAATGAAGTCAGTTCACCATTCGCAATTCAATGCAATAGTGCAATTCTTTGACCACTGCTCGTGCAGGCCACTCTCCCAAGTTTTCATATGTGCGAGTTGTGCCTTTCTTGGACTTTTCAAGCAAGCTGCCCTACTTGCCTTCTTCTCGTATATTTTGGTTTTCGAGGTAGTTTTCCTACTGTATGCTCTCCTCTCTTTATCGCAACTGCTTCGCCCAATTCCACCACTCCGCAATGCCAGCCACGCTAACTTGAATTAAGGAGTTTCATAGTCTGGCTAGAAAGAGCAGTTCCACACGTCCTCACTTGTGTCGCGCGTGCACATCTTGCTCGCTGTTTGTCGTCAGGATGGTGGACGGAAGGCCTTTCCTGTCGCTCAACACAATTTAGAAAAGTGCAGCCTCTTGACTTGGGCATAATGCGCGCGTTTGCATGCAGATTGCGTAATCTCTGCTCGGTTGTCTCCTTCTTTTGCATCTCGTTAGTTCATGCTGTTAATATTTCAGTATGAAGCGTTTAATATTTGTTATAGGTGCTGCGTCATGAAGCACTTGCTCATGGCCAAGCTTGTGTGAATATTTGAATTCTGCAAATACAGTCAAACCCCGCTACAATGAACGCCGCTTCAACGAAACTTCCGCTACAACGAAAAATTCACGGTTCCCCCATCAGCAGCCGATGAGAGTCAATGCATAAATATTGTCGCCACAACGAACACATCTTCTGTCGTCCCGCTTTAATGAAATTTCACGATGCAATTCCAGGCTCAGATATTTATTGCTATACAGGAAACCCAGTTTTTAACACTTTGATGCATTTTGAGAACCTGAAAAAACGTCGACGAAGTCTAAAACACGCGTTGGCATCACCAGGAACCGCCGCTGTTCAACAAGCACATCTTTCCTTCCTCCGTGAACAAGCATGAGCGCCGCCATTGCTCTATAGCGATGGCGATGAGATTGCCCTGCTCATGGAGGATGGCCCTGCTTTTGCCACTGGCTTGTTTTCGAGCCGCAGACAATCCGTAGCTGAAGCAGTCGCTCAGTCCATAGGGTTCATGGTTTCCTTCGTGCAGCTGTTGCGTGCATCTGCAGCGTGCATCTGCAGAGCGATGCTTTTTCCGATTCCAGTGCTTATCATTTTATTCGTGCTTGGCCAGTGTGGCCAAGCCTGATCAGAGCGTACCTGATCAGAGCGGCTGTTCGTCCGCATCATAAACCGATTCAGCCAGCTGCGAGATTTGGATGATAAGAATGGCATGGAATAAGGCAAAAGTCACCGCTCCACGATACCATGCCTCCATCTCGGCGTTGTTGGATACACTATGACAGCGGACGGTTGCTGGTGATAACGTCTTAATGCAACTGTTTAATACGTTTACGAATGCAGTTGTAGGCGTTATTTCAGCGGTTTTCACCATGGCCTCGCTGTGCATGATTGTGAATCGTGTCGTGACACCGCTGGGAAAGATTAGGAAGCACTGGAAACTTTTTTTAATTTTAAGAACAAACGTTTCTTTGTTTAGTAGCTCAGATCAGCTATAATTTTTTTTCGATTTCACTACAACGAAATTCTCGCTTCAACGAAATATTTCCTGCACGCCATGAGTTTCATTATAGCGAGGTTTGACTGTATTCAAATGAATAGTAGAGTATTCAAATTTGCTTTGATTCAAATTCAAATTATTAAATGTTTTGAAGTATTTGCAATGAACGAATAGGTGTATAATAATGTGCATGTAACTGCTTGTAAAGGTGGTTTCAATGCAGTGTAGGGGTGCAAAGCTATAGAAGCACCTATTCAGAAAAAATCCACTCTGCCGCGAAGCCTAACTTCACATTTAAAGGGGCCTTGCAACACTTTTTGAGCATGGTGAAAAAACTCTGTCGATCGGTGGTCGAAGCTACCGAGAACACACAAGCCAAGTATTATAGCACAGCACACAGCCTGCAATTCACAATAAATTCTCAAAGTCAGCTAAAAATTGCTCTCTTCTCTCGGCAAATGATGACACAAGATGGAAAATCACTCATCACAACCGTTGTATCAGCCATTGGCTGATTTGAGCATGGCGCGCTCAATTGTAACTGGAGCCGCCGCGGGAGGCCGCCACTCGTCCATGCGTATGTGGGCAATCGCTTTGAAAAGCCGCGTATTGAAAGAAAAAAAAAGACAAAAAGTGCTCAGGGTCACAACGCACACGTGGCGTATTTTCTTTCCCCATGCCATAGCTTCCTGCTGAGCTTCTAGGGATTTCATCGGGACAAGAAGACAGAATGTAATTGCAGCGTGCAACAAATCTTTGTAACTCCGCTCGTACTGGACAGTTTCTAAAAATTTTTGCACCGGTGAATTGTTGAGGCAATAAGTTTTTTTAGTAAAAACATTCCATGTCTACATGAAAAAATGTTGGAGGATGCCTTTAAATGAACATATTACTCTCAAATCGATCCATCATTTTTTAAGCTTAAAAGTGTGTTATGGCAGCTTATATCCTCCAACAATAATAATTTTCAAATTGTTATGTATTTTAGAGGTTATCACTAACATCCCACCGAAAGAGAAATTTTGTTACTGCTCAAAGAGGTTTATACTTTCTTCGAACAAAAAAAAAAGCATTTGCATAGAGGCTAATTGGATTCAAAAATATTGTGCAGGTTAGTTAGGTCATGATAAATATGCCCATTTATATAAGACATATATACTACTCGAATTCGATTTGAGATTATTCGACCAAAATCACTATTTGCTTCAAATTTCCTTCAAACCTAAAACTCACTATTCGCACCAGCCTACTCATAGCTATTGACTGCCCAGCAGCCAACTTTCCGCTTCGGTTGTCCTTCTACTCAGCTATAAAGTTCAAGGCTTCGTGGACTCGAGTAACAGCTACATGTGTGTGTAGCTGTTTTCCCGAGGCCAACTTCGTCGATGTGAAACCTGACGCCGAGCCTGAAGCTTCCAAACAGGTAGACTCTGGCAGGAATTTTTTCTTAACTGAGTGCACGAAAAAATTTGAAGCACAAAAGGAAGGCACCTGGACACAGCGCACACTAACAACTGAAACTTTATTCGAGAAAACAGACATTTATGTGTGGTTACGAGTACACGTGTGGTAAAGGAAACGATTAGATGAGTGGACAGATTGTATTACTGATGCGCTTCTATAAAAGCTACCTCAGCAGAAAGTAACATAACCGAGGTTTGCGCGACACGTGAATCACCAACTTTGTTGATGAGATACGCCTCTTCAATTTCCCGCGCTACCTTGTCCCTGAGTCTAGCTTTAACTACCGTATCACCAAACAAGGGTGCGCAGCCACACTCTCTACAATGGGATGATAGGTTAGAGCATGGTTGTCTCTTCAGAGAAGCTTTGTGATCCATAATTTTATTATTGACACAACACCCTGTCTGTCCAAAATAAAACTTCCCTTACGACAGCGGAGTGCCGTACACCACAGTGAAGGCGCAGTTGATCTCTTTGGCCCTGTGCCTCACCTGGCAAGTACCCTTGCCAAGCCGCTTACCTTCCATCCTCCTCGCAACTGCCACGCAAACGCTGCCTAAATGGCTGCCGGCCGAAAAAGAAAACATTGGATAGGATAGTCAAAATAGCAGAGGAATTTTACATATATCTGTACAGTAGCCGGACAACCACGACCTTAATATAAGAACTAGCAGTAACCCTGATGGCACCCCACCAGTAATGACAGAAGTAGTCAGAAAAGCCTTGGAGAGCATGAAAAGAGGCTAAGCTGCTGG